AACATTGACATATAACCCAATAGTCCCTTTTCTATTCAACAAGACCTATAATGGCTTTATTTCAGTGAACTCCACTTACAAGATTTTTGTAAGTAACAAATCAAACACATATTTGCTTAATACCTGCACCATATTTTCTGTTTGGGTTTTTTTTTTTTTTTTTGATTTCCTGTAATCTGTGTTTACCTGCTTTTAGTCTAGAATTGTACTTCCATGACGAGCACTGTGCACATGGAGTGGATTTTAGAACATTTGTAGACTTAAATCTGCAAACTGTGCATACTTCTGAAACACTACTGATTTTGTATGAAAATTACTTGATTGTTACAGTGCAATTCCAGGATTCACTGCTAAGTGAATCATAAAACAGAAAAATGTTAACATTAACACAGCCTTTTATTTTATTTTTCTTTATCTATATTTTGTACAGTGCAGGAGTATAAAATAACTTCAGACGCGACCATTTTGAGCTTTTGCGCCTTAAGTTGCCCAGCCATTGTTGCTTTTTCTGTACTATTTGGCAGAAATTCTATTGTTTTTGTGTTTTTAATCTTAATATACCATTTTAAAATGTTAGGTATATTGTCACTGGGGCTGTTCAAACTAGGCAGACTCAGTTAAAAATGTCTTTATTCTTCAACTTTGCCCTTCCAGATAATGTGGGCTGCATCTTTACCATCATATTTATCAAAGCAAGTACTGGCAGAGAGAGAGCCTATTCCTACTTTAGAAGTACAAAAATGTCCACCAGGCTACTTAACATAAGAGCACTGTGGGTAACTTGCAGCTCGTTCATGATGCCTCGGCCTAAATGTTTGATCTTTACCTTTTTTCAATATTAATTTCCTTAAACGGATTATTGCTGATGTTCCTGCTGTATTGGTACATCTGTGGTGGTTCTGTCTATACGTATTCCAGATAGTTGGCCCAGTGGTGCTTTGTACTCATGGCTGGAGAATGGGGATGGAGAGCTACTGGAATATGAGGTGGTGCTGATTCTCCTTTTAGTATTTAGTACTTTTAGATTTTGGTTAGTAAGAAAGTGACAAGTTGAGGACTACTTGGCCTTTCTGGTTAGTTGTGTTTTGGGGAGAAAGAAGTTAAACCCCAGAAGTTAAAGTGTAATTTAAATATTGCCTGATATCTCCATTCTTGTATGAATACTATTTTCCTCTTTTCTTCCTCTTCTTCCACAAAGTGAGCTCCACTGTGAATTATGGATTGATACTGGCACTGCCAATAATTAACTCCGTTACCCTATCAATAAAGACACAGGCCCTAACCTTACATGTGTACTTGGATGTGGACTGTTAAGTTTAGCGATAACATAGATACTTTGGTAGTGCCATAATTTAAAAAGTAAATTCTTGCAAGGGTGCAGACATTTAGAAGTCAATACTAGATTTTAGCTCAGCAGCTGTTAAATCTTCTTTTTTTGCATTTATTCTCTGAGTTATTGTATCTGTGTATGACAAATGTGTGCATTGTGTATTTATGCCTGTGAGTATGTTTAGTGTTTATCTTTGAGTGTGGCTGTGTGCAATTTGTAATTGTGGATGTGTTGAGAATGTGTTTGTGCATGCTGGAAATGTGTGCACGAAGGTTATCCACACGGCTGTTGGGACTGGAAGTGTGTGTGTATGTGTGTATATGTGTATGTATGTGTGTATATATATATATATATATATATTTCCATTTGGCCTTCCATTTATGTTTTAAAGATTTGGTTCTCCAGAGAAGTTTGACACTCCATATATAATATAGCATTTCCTTTGAACTGCACTCTATACCTCATCGTGTTTGAATATACTTTACAGGTCTAATGAGGTAGTGCTAGTACAATGATGTTGCTGTTGATGGTTGCTTTCCGTAATTATCGACAAGTTGAAATTTATAAGAAAATAATAATGGTACACTACATAACTGGGACAATGCATAGAGTTGTGAGTTCAAGTATGTCAGTTGCTATTTTGAGAACAGATAAGGCAACACACAATGCTAAAGCAGGTATATTATTTGATTATGTCTAAATACTAAAAACACTTCCATTTCATGAAGTAACAAATGATACAGTCATGGGAAAACGCCATTCATTTTCAAATAACCATTTTCATGTCAGCTCTGCACATACTATTGTCTATGTTTCTTCTACAAATAGGCTTAGAGATCACATTTCTTTGCAAAATATATATTTTTGTATCCTTGTATATCAACACTTTAATATTCCCTATTTTGAGTTACTTTGTCATAATCCAGATCTTTACTTTTTACTCATTATTACCCTGAGCTCCTCTCCTGCCCAACACATGATGTTTTAGACTTTAATGTCAATAGGAAAAAATGTCAATGGAGTGTTGCTATTTTCGATGTTATTTTTCTTTAACCGTGTATCACAAACCTTTTTATTGTATTGCTAACACTTCTAATATATATATATTTTCCAAGTGTGCATAACTGTCAGAACAGGTCCAAAAATCAGTCTAGAATAGCTGGCTTGAGTACAGCAATGCAGTTATTCACCAGACCAGTAACAATGTGGATTTGACCAAAGGTTTGTTGATATTAGCCTAAATTAAAGATCTGTAATATAGAGAAGGTGGAGATTTTTTTTCCAGTTTCGCTATCTTTGCCTAACATCTGTAATCCTTGGCCACTTTGTGGTATATTCTGGTACATTGAATAACCTTAAAGACTTTAGAAACTTGAATTAAATGTGCCCCAAAATGTCTTGTTTTTTTCTTCTTCAAATGAAAAACTCGATTTCACTCTAGCTCTTACTTTTTTTTTTCTAACTATTACAAATAAGATTCTTAAGAAGGCTGATTGTCTACTCTTGAGTGTTAACAGTGTGTAGAGGCACTAATTAAACATTTTATTTAGCCTAAAAATAATTCAGAAACTGGGTGTCATTTTTCTGTATTTTTGACTTGATGTTACCGCATTAAAATTCAAAATATACAGTGTACGAGGTGGGGGGGGGGGGAATTGTAGTTGTTTAACTGTTTTCTTGCAACATGTAAGTCATTTATGCTTGTTTCTAAGGTCAGTCCCACATAGGATTAAAGAGAGCTGGTGAGATTGATGTTTAAAAGAATTCTTGATGTTTAACGCAAATTTTAATTAGAAGCATTTTTTTTTTTTGTAGCTTTGAAATGTTTGTAAATTTTGGATGTTTGGTTCATTTATTACTTTGTATTTTAAGTAATGTATAGAAACAGCTCGTTACAAGCACAACTTTGAATTTCATTGTAACTGTACCTTGGTAACAACAGTCATTATAGGCAATTGTTGCGGTCAGAAAAAAAAAACAAATTATCTGCTATTACATCCCTGAGAATATTTTGCTGGTTTATCTTTTTTTACTTTTACTTTTTCTATCCACATCAGGGCAATAATATGTATAAAAAGTCCCATCCGTTTTCATCTGGTGTGCTTCTACCCCATCAATGGGAATGATTATGCCAGAGACTTTATTCAATGTATAAAGAAGCAGAGTGTTAATGTGGTGGAATAAATCTTACAAAGAGTTGTGACGATTGCACTTTAATTATCTGTAAGTTTTCTTCTGCATTTTCCATTGGAGGGAATAGTAAAGCATTGTGTATAAGTTTATGTATAATATAAACTTGCACATAAAATCAGTTAAAGTACTATAAACAAATAGCATAATTGACCAAAGTTCAACTTGTTAAACTTATCAGTCGTTGGCAATTCTTTGTCTTAAGTGGGACTGACCATTTATACTGTATATAAAGAGAAAATTATTACACTAGTACTTTTAGAATGGCCTGTACCACTTTAGCTAATCACTGAATGTCTGTGCATATCATTTTTGTACATTAAAATACATTGCCTTTTTTTTTCTTTTTTCTTTTTTACATTACTGAAAAAAAGTTTTCAGTTTTAAATGTGTGTTTTAGCCGTTCAAATTAAAAAGGAAAAAAGTTTTTTGTTTAGTTTATGACATTCCGCTGATTTCAGAGTTTGCTCGTTGACTTCAATAAAAATTGTTCTGAATGTAAATTTCTGTGAATTTTTATTTCTCCAGGGTTTTTCAAAAAGCATAAATAGTTTGTTTTGGTTATGTTTGTCTCCCAGATTTTAAATTTGAACGTGGTTTAGTTCTGTCTTCATTTTACCCAAAAAAAAAAGTTACTTTTTTTTAAATTAAATCTCCAGATAATTACTTGAACTGACACTTCTATTTTATGTGAATGTAAATGTAAAAAAAAGTAACTTTTTTAAACCCTATAACATTTCAGTAGGTTTTGATCAAAGGGGGCTACTATGTTCACAGATGAACAACATATGTATAACAAAACACATTTAAAGGAATTGTCCATTCATTCGAATAAGTGAGTTGATTAAAGTGTGGTGGTTTGTTTTTTTGGGGGGGGGGAGGAGGGTGCCTATAAGTAAGGGCTATAGAAATGTTTTTAGTGATTATATTTTGGAAATCCTATTAAAGGGTTACTCCAGGAATCATGACCACGTAAGTAATTTGAATTTGAGTAAGGAATAGCGGAAGATACCTATGCTGGGTATTGGAACTCCGCTACAAGGTTTTTGATAAAGAATAACCTTTCCTGTATTTCTTATAGTATATGCACTCTTCTCCAGGATGTATTTGAAAACTGGTAAATATTATTGCACTTTGAAACTACTGTCTACATCTAGGTAAAGTATTTCCCTCTATCACACTGGAATGGCATCCCATCTGTAAAGGCAGTGTTCAGACATCTAGGCAGAGACACTTTTTGCTCACTAGCAAAGTGATTGAGCTCTTTAACAGGTCCAAACCTTTTGTAAGGTGTTTGAATTTTGCTATGCAATGCGTAAAATTATTCTCAATTTTTTCTGTTAGACATTTTAGTATTGAAAACCAGCACTGTAGCGGTAATGGCACAAGGAGTGCCTCTTTGTGCCCTCCCTGGATAAGTAGTCAAACCATTTACAAATGGTTTGGAAACTTTCCTGGAGTCTGCTGGATGTCTTTTGCTGCCTCTTCTGCTGCTGGACAGCTCTCCACTGAACTAAGCATGGCATTGCAGTTGTTCATTGGCGGAGAACGCTCAGTTGATGCTCTTTTTTCAAATGATGTGCAGTACATGACAGAGCTTAGCTCAATGGAGTTACTTCAAGGAGCTTCCGCCTCCAAAGGAAATTGCGGAAAGCTCCTGGTGGACCCCAGGTACATTGTCAAACTGTGCAAAAGGTTTCACTACTTACTCTGAGTGAGCCTAGGGTACTCCTGGCACCATAATCACTGGTACCCGCATGGTTACCAACTGTCCTGTTTTTGCCGTGACAGTCGCGGCAAGCTGGAGTCTGTCCCGGCCAATTAGTCTAGTTGGAGGGAGCTGCTGAGGGCTGCATTGAGGCTGCTGGGGCCGGAGGGAGCACTGACAAGTCTCTCTTCCGAATTCCCAGTAGCTTCCCTGACACACAGGCTCCTGCTCCACCTCGCGACCGCAGGTTATGTTAGCTCCGCCTCCCGCATGAAAGCTTCGCCCCTGCTAAGCAGCAGAACTTGCTGCAGGAGGAAGAGGCCCAAGATTGCTACCTGACTTCCCAGCAACAGCCGTGTGTGTGCTAGGTAGGCTTGATATACTCAGCCGTGTGTGTGCCTGCTAGTGATAGCTTATCTGTGTCAGCAAGCTTGTCTTTAGTGAACTTGCATGCAGGGTCGTCTGTCCGCATGGGCATGCTGGGCAGTGGCCTGGGGGCTACAGAAGCATGGGGGCCCCAATATTATGTCCATGTGCCCAGGCAGACAAAGGAGAACTGCTTTCTTGCAGTGGGCACTATCGGGCCGGTGAGGATATCAAAGATCTCCCTCACCTGCCCAAAGGACCTTCATTAGTGATAGGGAGGGCGGGAGGATCTGAGAGGCAGAGCACTCCTCTTGCGAGCATGTTGTGCAGAGCATTGCTGTGTGTTACCATGGCAATGCTCCAACAGCATTCTGTTCTTGGGAGGAGTGAAGACAGCCTGAAGCCAGAGATGCTGAAGGCTCTAGATAACTCACCACCACCACCACGGCACAGCACTCCTTACACACACTGTACCCCACACACAAAGTTCCCTCACAAACACAGCACCCCAGACACAAGGCACCACACACACACTACCTCTCACACACAGCACCCCTCACTGCAGTGTGTTTATTACACTGTGTGTATATTCAGCAATCTGTGTGTATATTTAGCTGTCTCTGTGGGTCTGTTTGTGTGTGTGCATTCAGTGTAGTGTGCAGTCTCTGTGTGTGCGTGTGTTCAGCAGTCTTTGTATGTATGGCATTTGTTGGAGGTACCAATAAATATAAGCATCATTTATTTTTATTTTTATTTTTTCTGTGAGTTGTTGTGTAGGAAGGGCCCCAGTGCACTGCTTTGCTCGGGGGCCCATAATGCTGTTAAGATGGTACTGCTTTTGTGTGTCAGTGAGCTTGCATTTAGTGAGCATGTGTGTGTCACTGAGCTTGTAATTAGTGAGCTTGTGTGTCACTGAGTTTGTCTGTTTGTGAACTAATGTATGTTCTATTGTATATAGACACAACTCTGACTGAAGCACATCTGCACAAGGTCTTTCTATATTTGTTCTTGTACTTACAGGGTTCACCACTGATACCCAATTCACCTAAAAGAGATAAAATGTACCTGCCTGATATAGATGCTGTGCTGCGAATGTATCAATCGCATACCTAGGATGATGGTACTGTTGGTGGGAACTTGGTGTTATAAATTCTACTCAATAAAGAGAGAATTGCAGGGAATTGAGATGGGAATTTCAAACTTTAGTTCAAAATAGTGCAGCTGAATGGGAGAATGTTTCCAACTCTGCTGCTTTGGACTTATGTTTGAAATTCCCATCTCAATTCCCTGTAATCTGCACTATAAATAGGCTGAGATTATGTGGGTTGGACATAGTGGGTGGAGTTTTGCAGTTGTGGGTGTGGTAAATTTTCAATGTAGTAATGGATAGCTGTGCTGCATAGAGTCCCTGGGCTTTTTTGTTCTTTTCAAATGTTGGCAAATATTCCTGGCAGGCAGTAGTGGTTATAGTGCATGGGATGTCCTTTCAGTGTATATTTAGCAGTGTGGTGACTAGTATTTGGAAAGAACTGCTGTGGAAGTCAAATTATGATTTTCCAGTGATGTCTTAAAGAATGGGAATGTTGGTAGTTGGTATCATCCTATGTAAAAAAAAATACCAGTTACAAGTTAATGCTTATCTTCGTATTCCAATCCACAAAGTTCATTAAAGATCTCTTTGAATAGCCGTTCTTAGAACAAAATGAACAGAGTTCTCTCAGGTTCTAGCCAGGTGTCAAGTCCAAAAAATGAGTGGTACCTCCTCTGGTTTGCCCCCTCTTTCCATCCATTAAGTAACTGCCATCATCCTCCTGTTCACTATCCGCGTCATATTTTAAGTGTCTAAATGTGTATCCCAGGATGCTCTCAAAATAAATATCTTGGACCTGACAATCGCCCATTAAAAGGACACTATAGTGTTAGGAATACGAATCTATCTTTAGTATATGACTGGATCCTTTTATATATTATTATTATGATGTCCATTTATATAGCGCCAACAGATTCCATAGCGCTTTACAATATAATAAGAGGAGGGATTTAATTATATAAATAGGATAATTACAAGAAAACTTACAGGAACGATAGGTTGAAGAGGAATATACACACTGGGTCTGACAGTGTTACAGGAGTATTGTTATAAAAATGTTTAGTTGTGAGTTTTCCTTTCAGTTTTCCTCTCTGTCTGCATGAATACAAGCAGCAGCAATAACGTGCACTTCCTCTGGCAGCAGACAGGTGGCAGCACACGCATTCACTGTTCCTCGGCGATTATCTTTCCTCCGCATCCTCTCCTCTCGTTCTCGCGGTCTATATTATAGGCAGCGGGGCTGGAGATTCCTGGGTCACAGGGAAGCGCCACGTGTGCAGAGGTGAGGGGCGGGGCTACGAGATGTCCTGGCTAACGTATTGAGTGACGTAAGCGTCGTTTACATGCTGTCAGGCTGGTTGTGAGAGATCTCCAGCATTCCAGCCATGATAAGAGCCAGCTGCACGGGGTTACTGCGTGGCATTCCATGGGGCGTGCTCTAATACAGCAGGTGTCCATCCCCTCCATCAGCTATCCTCAGTCTGGGACCAGCCACTAACCAGGTAATGCAGGGCTAGTGGGGGAATGATTTGGCTATGCCTCTCTCTCTCTCTCTCGCTCGCTCCTTGTAATGGGGCAGTGGCCACCATGGCTAAAGATGGGATTCTTTGTGCCCAAACTCCCTATTGTCAGTCAGCAAAGAGAGCCTGCAGCGTTTATCGCTTCAGCTTCCTGTTACTATTGTGCAGCATGCTCCAGGGGCCAATAAATATTAGTTTTACAACACGTGCACTATAAAGTGATAAACATCAGTGATGTTCTTGGCACTCAAGGGATAAAGCAGATTTTATTAAATCTATTGCCACTGTACTCAACCAGCTAAACAGAAGTGCAGCAAATCCGTTACTTTTTATACTCTCTAACATTATCTAGCTGTAGAATCTCTGAAATAAAAAAAAATGTTTGTTTATAAATGTCACATATTTCACCCGTTATGGCTAGTAGCCAGTCCAGTGTTGACTTATTACATTTTAGACAGGTAAGTAAAACCGTGCATGACCCTTTGTTTTCGCTTACTAAATTTTAAGTTCCACTTTTTTTCTTTTTTTTTTGTAGTGTTCCTAGTATATATGTTGGCACATATTTTGTTGTTGCAGTGCACAGGCTAGAATATTTGGATTTGTTTATTTTGTATTTTTGCTGTGCATAGAAAGACAAACATTATTGCAATGCCCCATCAGCAGTGTAAGATTAGCTGTTAACAGATTGCTACAGTTGTATGGTATACACCTTTTTAGGAATCACAAAACAGGCTAGTTATGCATGTCTAGACCACAAACGGAAACTGAGCTCAGACTAAAAAAAGGTTGCCTTGATATAGTGATTGATAACCAAGTATAGATGCTAAACAAAATGAAGAATGTGTAAGTCTAAAGAAAACTGAAGGATAATCTGGCTATAATAACTGACATTATGCTTAGCAGTGATTCTTCTGGGTATTAAATATGAGTAGAAAAGACAGCCTACGACAACACACATGCATAAATTCTGCAGTAACTCAGATAGTGGTTTTGGTACATTGAGATGTACCCATGTCTGCTCAGCCTATACCACAGGTAGGCCACAATAGAGAGTCCAGCTCTACACCCGACGTCTCCTTTCTCCTTCACAACACTTTGCAGGTCTCGCTGGGTTTCCTGTAGCCCATTATGTAGTAAACTGCACTACCACTAATTCACACACCTTTGGCTCCAAGCCATGAAGGGGGGCCAATGCCCCATGTCCATACCTCCTCCAATTTCAAGTGGTAGGATTGTGAGGCCACAGTCTCTCCCGAAACACGAACGAGCCCCTGACTGTATGGTCCGTGGAATTTTGTCTGGCATGTAAGAGGTCCCTTCACCTCTTACATGCCAGACTGTAGCCCTCACTGTATTGCTAAATGTCCGATGCAGCAGCCATCTTTGATGCGCCACTTTGTACCTGGTATGCCAAGCTTGCAGGCCTCACTCGAGGTGCTATGTAACACATTGGGGACCAGGATATTCAACATCAGATTATAAATTAGTGGCTATTGATTAGTAATAAATTGTAAAGTAATATGTTCTACATAAAGGTTACACTCTGCTGTATATCTGCCTTTGCATTTTAGGCCTGAGCAGTGAACTAGGATGGACAAGCGCATCGTAGAAGGCTTTGTTTCTGAATTTGTTCTACGGCTGTTGCTACTTGGAATATTCCTGTAAGTTCAAATACAGTATACCCGTGATGGCCCTGGCACTGAAAATATTTCCCATGTTGTTGTTCTGTCTCCCAAATGAATAGTTACATTATCCATCATTCACAAACAATATGCTATCAAATTATGCAATTTCAGTACCCACCCCTCCTCCACCTCTGCTACAGCTTGTCTCTCTTAGCTCAGTGGAGTGCTTAGATCATTGGCTGATGCTCTTAGTCAATGAACTAGCCTTGCAATGTTGTGCTTGGCTCAGGTAAGTTTACCAAAGCTCCTAAATAGGCTGTATTGGAGGCTGGGTGCTGGGCCTGTGGACCCCAGGTGAGAAGTCAAACCATTCTAAAACACTAACATGAGAGGGGACATCAGGGCACTTCCAGAACTATCACCACTACTGTGCTCTGTAATGGTTATGGTCATTGGAGTGTTCCTTTATAACTATACCTAAATTAATTTGAATTTGCCATACACATAATCCATAACATGTTGCTGTTTAAATTACCACCACACCTACAGATTGAAATATGTTTACCTGAAGAGTGAAAAATCCCCATCCTGCAGGACATCCTTCATGGGTGGAGAGGCTGCCCTATTAAGAAAATAATTTTTGTTAGCCTAGCTGCACCCCCTTACTTCCAATGAGAAGATACCATTACTAAAAATATGGTCCAGTTTATCTCACAATCTCCATTCTCTAAATTCCATTATAATGTGTCCTTGATGGTCATAGCATACTATATGATTCCATTCCAGAGTATAAGCTTTATCACAACCATTTTTTTTTATCATTAAATTAACTTGTTGAAAGAGTGTATTATACATCCTTCACAAGAATTGTACAGTATGCATATAGCTGTCAAATTGCAGAAGGAGCTGCATTACAAATTTGGGATTAACCTTAGTGACCGAATAATCTAAATTTTATTAAAAACAGGAGGCGAATATTTGCTTTACTTTCTTTACTGTAACTCCCAGCAGCAAAGAAACAGTTAACAGTATGTCCAGTCATCAGGCTCCTCCCAATTCCTCTGTCTTGATGCAGCCGACAGCCGCAGAGTCAACCTTGTAAACGGTGGAACAATAAAAGGTCTCAAAATGTAGTCAACCATGTAAACGATGTGGGAACGTAGGTAATTCCTCGAGATGTAGTGAAGGGTTTTCACACTAGGAAAAAAGGAGAGAGAGAGGTCGTAAAAGTAGGGTTTCTTGGGTAAAGGAAAACAATACTTAATTACGTGATCTGATATGTTTCCAACAAGGTGTACAGTCGTATTCTGACAAGTCTTAAGTTATGAGGTAGTGAGTGTAGTATCCGTAAAGGTAGTTGCAAGGAGAGGCCTGAAACGTAGATTATAAACATTGGTTTAGTCAATAGAGGTGTTGTGGAATACCTACCTAGTTGGGTTGGGTGCCTGTATTAGCGGGCGGGAAAATATTCACCTCCTGTCGGTCACTAAGGTTAGAATAATCCCGAATTTTATGGCAAGACAGGAGGCTTCATATTTGCTGTTTTTAAGCAATGATATGATGGCATTAGATACATGAGGGGATTGTCTAAAATAGAAGGTTCTGAAGGTGGATTCTCTAGACCAATCTGCGGAAGTGAGGATCTACGTTAGGGAGCCCCCAGATGTAAATGCAGACGAGGCGGACGCGCCTCTTACTGAGTGAGCACCAAAACATGCGTCGATGCCAGTTAGGACTAGAAGCCATTTGATCCAACGAGCAATCGTGGGACATGACACTGGCTTGTGAGGTCGAATGTAGGACACCAGTAGGGGTCCCGTTCGTGGTCTAAGATCCTTGGTGCGGAGGATGTAGTGTCTGACGCAATTGGCTACGCAGAGCATGGGTTTGTCGTGAAAATAAGGGTAGCTTACTGTAGATGAATTGGTTTTGGTGCGTCGGGTAATGGAGAAGTGTACTCCCTTAGGGGTAAAGTCCACCGCATGGACATCAAACGCCCTGATGTCCGAGACTCTTCTAAACGATAGCAAACAGAGCAGTAGTGCCAGTTTGGCCGACAGTTGTCGTAGAGAAAGTTCTCCATTAGGGGGCCATGTCTCCAAAAAGGATAATACCATAGTAACATCCCAAATTGATTATATTTGGGAGCCGGGGGTCTCGTGAGGCACATGCCTCGCAGAAGTCTACATATGGAGGGGTGTTTACCAACCGCGGAGTTGTCAACGAGGCTTTGGGCTGCCGAAATGGCTGAACGGACAACGTTAATTGACCGATAGTACTTACCTTGTTCGAAAAGTGATGCCAGGAAATTCATAATGTTAATTAGAGAGGTTGAAAAGGGATCAACGTCCCTCTCCAAGCACCAGCTATTCCAGCGTTGCCACGCTGACAGATCAGAACGTCTTGTGCCTGGGGCCCAAGAGTCCCATAGTAGTCCTTGAGCAGTAGTCGAAAGGCCTGAGACATTCCAGGATCCCCTGAAATGGTCCAGGCCACTAACCGAAGGTGGCCTTGTAGTGCTAGTGGATGGAAATTGCCTGAAGGGTCCCTGAGGAGATTGTATGAGGTGGGTAGGAGTAGGGGGTAGTCCGCTGACATCTCCAGGAGGTAAGGGAACCATGGTTGAGTACGCCACAGTGGGGTTACCAGAGTTATGGTGACGCCCTGTGTTCTGAGGTATTGTATCGTACGTGGAATCATGGAGAATGGGGGAAAGGCATACGCTCCGGATGTTGGCCACGGTTGAAGAAAGGCATCCACTGCCAGGCACGCTGGGTCTGGGAGCCAGCTGAAGAATGTGTCCGTCTGACGGTTCAGGTGAGATGCAAATAGGTCCAGGTTGAATGGTCCTCTGAGGGTCTGTAGATGGTGAATAATTTGTGGGTCCAGTTACCAGTCGCTGGAATCCCTCCAGTGGCGTGAGAACCAATCTGCGACGAGATTGTCGGAGCCCGGATGATATTCCTGTCTAGGCAGAATTGGTACAATTCCTTCGTCAGATCTGATAGCATCTCTGATCGTGAGCCACCTAGGCGGTTCACATATTGTACTGCTGAGACGTTGTCCATCCTCAGGATGAGGCTGCAGTTGTAGGCTTCTTTGGCAAAACTGCGGATCACGAAAGAACCAGCAATCAGTTCGAGGCAATTGATATGTAGTGCATGTCCTGATGGGGACCAGAGGCCTCCAGTAGAACGTTCCGAGGAGACTGGCATCCGATTCCAAAATGAAGTCGGGTTGCCGGCCGAAGATAGCCCTTCCGTTCCAGGCTTCCATATGTTGAAGCCACCAGTGGAGTTCTAGTTTGACTTCGTCTGTGAGGAAGATCTGTTGGTCGTAGGATGGTGAGCGATGTAAGTAGTGTGTCCTCAAACGTTGCATCACCCGATAGTGTAGCGCGGCTGGGAATATTGCCTGGATTGAGGCGGAGAGTAATCAGATTGTGCGGGCTAAATCCCTGAGTCAGAGGTATGGCGAGGTTAGCAATCTCCGGATGTCCTTTTTTATGGTTTTGATTTTCGTAGCAGGAAGTTGCAGGACTGCCTGAATCGAATCTATCTGAAATCCCAGAAACTGTATCGTCTGGGATGGAGTCAGGGATGATTTTTGGAGGTTGATGATGAAACCCAAATTCTGGAGGAGGGCCGAAGTCATATCCGTATAGAGATGTAGAGTCTCTTTTTCTTGTGCCATAAGGAGGATATCGTCCAAGTATATGATGGACCGAATTCCTTGTGAACGGAGGAGCGCCATCACCGGTTTCATTAGTTTGGTGAAACACCAAGGTGCGGAGCACAGTCCGAAGGGGAGGCAGGTGAACTGCCATAGTGTCTTGTCCCAATTGAATGGAGGAAAGTGCGATGTTCTGGCGTGATCGGTATCGTGAGGTATGCATTCGTGAGGTCGAAACGGGAAAACCAATCTCCCTCGCAGAGGAGGTCTCGTAAGAGGTGGATGCCTTCCATCTTGAAGTGTCTGTATCTGATGAATTTGTTAAGTTCTCTCAGATTGATGACTGGTCGGAATTCTCCCAACTTTTTCTTGACCAAAAACATATTGCTCACGAAACCTCGTTGGTGATGGCCCGTTCGATGGCACCCTTGTTGGCTAGGGCGTCGAGTTCGGCTTGAAGGGCCATGTCGTCTATTTGAGACATCTTGAGAGGAGTAGGCAAGGACACCTGAATTGGATCCTCTGTAAAGTCTAGGTGGAAGCCGGAGACGGTCTGAAGGATCCACGGATCCTGCGTGAGTCTGTACCACTGTTGGGAAAAGTGTATTAATCGGCCTGCTATAGGTACATGAGAAAAATGAGAGTCCCTTACCTGTAGGAGTGCGACCACGGAGGGAAGCAGATCCACGTCCTCTAATGGATCCACGAGAGAGGAAGAATTGCTTGTGGTGGAAACGGGTATTGCCCAAGTTCCAATGTTCGGAAGGTCGAGGCCTATAGCCTGTAGAGGCAGCTCTGCCAGCCGTCCAGCCTCTGTAATGGCTGGCTCTCCCAGAAAAACGTTGGGAGCTAAATACCTTGCGTAAGGAAGATTGTGCTTTTGTAAGCGTAGTAAACACAGCCACGTGTTTACTTAATTCTTTAATAAATTTGTCTCCAAAAAGCATACCTTGTGCCTCAGGGACAAGCTCTTTAGTGCCTAATTCGGCAAGCTTTGAGTCGATCTTATATAAGACGGCTTTCCGTCTTTCGTTTGACATGGCAACATTCGCGTTGCCTAGTAGGCATAATGCCCTCTATGCCCATTCTCGCACCATATGTGCGTCTAAAGTGCCACTTGCCAAAGCCTCACCTGCGATAGCGAAAATCTGGATAAGCGGTCCCGCCAAATCCATCATTTTATCTTGTGTGTCCTTCAGGCCTTGTTCCAAACCCTTACGGGGGTCTTTTCCTGTCTTGTACAGAAAGGTGACGAGTAAGGGATCGAATTCTGGGGTAACCGCCACCTTGTCTGGGATAACAGGTCGTGGGCACTCTGCCCTTAATTTAGCTCTGACCGCTTTTTCCAATGGTTTACGGAGCCACATCCTACAGAATTTAGCTTTGTGGTCTGGGGGGCTCCACTCTGCAGAGCGTGGGTGTTTGATATACCTAGGGTCGAACGGGGGGGGGCCAGAGGTATCTAGTAAAATATCCTCAGATATGTTTTGGTTAGGATCAGAGGTTTGGAGCTCATTTTGGTGGGGTTCATGGGAGGGAAGGTCCTCGTCCGAATACCCTGCAGAGTATTCATCCAGTACCTGAAGTTGCAGGTTGGAAGTTGAACCCTCTAATGAGTCAAAGTTATAATTGGGGGTATCATCCCGAGTACCAGAAAGTGATAATCTAGGTGCTTTTGCTGGTGCCTTTCCCTTACCGGCGCTAGCACTATTGCCCTTCCAAGGGCGTTTGCGGGGACATTCGTCATGGTCTGAGCCTTTTGATTCTTCAGAGTCTGAGAGGTGAACGACAGGAGCCAAAGCTTTTGGAATGGAGTCTGCAATGGCGTTATACAGCCAAGCTTTGAGCTCTGCAGAGACTGGTGGTTCAGGCAAATCAGACATTTTTATTGAGAGAAGTGGGGTCACCACGAGTATAAATATATATGTATAATAATTTTTAAAAAAATTTATTTAATTTTTTTATAAAACTCAAAAGGCAGTGGACTTGTTCAAAACACAAAACGTGTATATAAAAACTTTGAATTGCTAATTAAGCGTGGGGGTCACCCACAGTTATTGCAGCAGAAACGGTATAACCGTATTAATATTAAGTAATGAGGGGGTCACCATCAGGAGACAGTAAAAGGGGGTCACCCTTTATATGAGGCAGAACTGTATAATATAGAGGGGGTCACCCTCTTCAATGAGGCAACTATTAAATTAATATAGAGGGGGTCACCCTCAGTAATGAGGCAAAAAGTTCTTGAGGTATAGAGGGGGTCACCCTCCTATGCAAGGGTTTAGTGTAATCTGTAATAAAACAGAGTAGGTACACTTTAATAATACTGGATAAAAGTTCAGTGTGAAATTGCTGCCAGAAAAAAAATGTTGAATGCACTTACCTGAAAATACCAATAGAGGCGCTGGAGAGCCGTTGTGATTAGTAGCCGTCCAGACGTTCCGGTCTAATGGAGGACAAAAAGAGCGCAAAAAAAGCCCGCCGAGAAATAGCCGCGGGAGGAAGGAGTCGTCGCTATGGAGACAGGTAAGGGGCCGGGATTGCTCTCAAAGATGGAGGCGGCGATATCGCCGAGGTTGGCAACCGGCCAGAAGCCGATCAGATCTCGGCTTCTGGCCGCACGGAAGGAGTTTACAGAGTGCCTCTGTAGTTCTGAGGCAGAAGGCAGCACACACACAGACCGTTTGGGGATTAAACAGAAGGCATAGAAAGAAAACTAGCAGAAATCACTCTAAAGACACAGTCCATTTAAAGGGGAAAGGTCTGAAATAAAATACTGTTAAAATATCACCAGTTTATACATAAGGTCAAAACAATATGTATATAATAAATCAATATAGGACTATCAATACTAGACTGTAATTGGAATAGACTCACCTGGGAGGCTAAGCAGCAAAGAAAGAGGAGCTGGGAGGAGCCTGATGACTGGACATACTCTATTGTACACTCTGGTTAATTTTTTTACTTACTGTTAACTGTTTCTTTGCTGCTGGGAGTTACAGTAAAGAAAGTAAAGCAAATATGAAGCCTCCTGTCTTGCCATAAAATTATGGATTGGTTCAGAGATTCTTTGCTTTTACCTTCTTTTGAGACTTGTAGGTGGTGTATCAGATCACGTACAAATAGTTGCTATCATACCTGTATATAAAACTAGCTCAGTGATACCTTTTTGAAGATATAAGTTCTAAGAATATATGTGTGGATACGTGTGTTAAAATCACAACAGTTTTTTCCAGAAAAACAAAACAAATTACTTCTAAAAACAATTGTGTGACTATCTATACTGTGCAATATGCAAATAGGAAGAAGTTTTACGGATATATATTTACGAATTCCTCCCTCCCATTGCTATATTGTCTTCTGAAGATTTAATGTGTGCCCAAACATATCCATTTCTCATTCAAATGGCTACTCCAGGCTGGAAATGACCTAGTGTTGGTTGTTTGTGTATGCAAGGAAACAACAATTTTATTTTATTTTTTTTTAAATGCTGTCTTATTTGTGGAGTGCATTATCTTACATAACTGTTTTTCTGGTACAAGCAGACATTTATGCCTGTCTTCTTCATAGGATAACAGAAATGATGCACCCCTTTCATCGAGTGATTCAACCAGAGGAAATGTGGCTTTACAGAAACCCGTATGTGGTATCTGATCGTGTCCCCACTAACAGCATGTTTGTAAGTTCCCGTAACCCTTGTTTACAATCCTGTGTGTATGTACTGTGCAGATCTAACTCCCCTGCCTTCTGATTAGAACACTTATGGTAACTTATGCCCTGCCATCAGTATGACAGGTGAACATATACAAACACACTGCACATAAACAGGATACCTTACACTATTTATTTTTTTGTCAGCACTCTTGCTGCCAGCAACTGGTTGTCTCAATAGAAACTCATTCAGGGCTATTAAGTAAAATGAGAATGCAAAGTGAGTTTCATATTTAAAGTCAAAATAGCTGAACAGGTAAGTCTGCTATACTCTCAGTTCAACTACTCTGACCTTAAATTTAAAATCCACTTTGAATTCTCACTTTAGTAAATAACATTGATAGTCATACACCTCTATAAAAATCGGACTCAAGTGAGCTGACTGTGAGTTAAACGGACACTATAGTCACACAAAAACTGCTTCACTAAGCTAAAGTTGTTTTTGTGTATCAGTCATGCCCCTGCAGACTCATTTCTCTATTCTCTGCCATTTAGATGTTAAATCACTTTGTTCATACAGCCCTAGCCACACTTCCCTGCATGTAACGTGCACAACCTTCCTAAACACTTCCTGTAAAGGAACCTAGTTATTCTTGGTGCCTGTATTGCACAGTCTATTTCATATGGCAATTTCTTATATACTGCTCTGTTAATAGCTGCCTTCTAGAGCTTGCAGGAGCCTCCTGTTTGCGATTAAAGTTCCATTTGCAGAGTAGGTGATACAATCTTCTAAAACAACCTAAAATCTGATTGATTTTATTTTTTTCATGCAGGCTATGAGTTAGTCAGGGAGAGTGTGGCTTGGGCATACACAAAGTGATCTTACTTCTAAAGGACAGAGAATTGAGCAGTGAGACTACATGGGGCATCATTTATACACCGAAACTGCTTAATTAAAGCGTCACATCAATTTGCCTTTCTTTTATGGTTTTGTCTTCTCTTCCTCTTTCAGTGTCTTTTCTTTATTTCTGATCTTTCTCTTTAAAACGTAAGACAAAGTAGGGACTATTTTATCTTGTGTATTTTTTCTACGCTTGATAATTGTGACAAACGGGTGGAGCATAAGGTAAGGCTTTCTTTGTCAACATTACAATGGGAAAACTTGCCTTAAGCTCCACCCTTTGTCAAGATTGCAAAGTGTAGGAAAAATGCAAAAGGTGAAGGGGAGGAGGAGACATTAATGCTTTCTCTTGCAGGCTTGTTCCTAGCACCCAGGGCCGCCACCAGAAATTGTGGTGCCCCTAACACAGCTCAAGGTCTGGGCCCCCAGGTGCCTGCCTCCAAGCCCCGCCTCCAAATCCCGCCCACAGGAATACACGGACACAGACACATAAACAGATACACACATACTAACAGACACAAATACTGAAACAGACATACACACATACAGGCATACTGACACACACACACACTTATATATTAGGAGATACAGATACACACACTGACGTACATACATACTCACTGACACACATACATACAAACTTACATACTGACCTACACACTGGCAGAGACAGACACACACCTCATTCATCAGCCACCCTCCTCTTCCTTACCTTTTTGTTGCAGGAGGATGGCTGGGGATGATGGGAGCGGATGCCTCTCCTCGGCTGTCTCTCTCCCCCCGCGCGGAGTTAGCTAGGAGGAAGTGACCGGCCGTCACTTCCTCCCAGCAGCACTTTGCAGTGCAGCCACAGTTTTTTTTTTTTTCTTAAAGGGTCCGGTAGCGCTATTACACGGCCGCAGCGCTGACCGGGCCCCTGAAGATATAGGGCTCATCGGGTGGCCCTAAATGCTTGGGCCACCTGATGGGCCCCAGTGCAGATGCACCTGCGACAGTTTCGCCACTCCACCCGGGGCCAGGGCCCCGACAACCATTATAGTTTTCACCCCCTAAAGGCGGCCCTGCTAGCACCACCTGCAAGGGTAGAAGCTGATAACATCTGTTGCCAAGATGCAGTAAGTCTGACGACAGACCTAATTTTTTCACAGAATTAACAGTAGGCAGCCCAGGACAGAGTTCAAGGTTATCTTAGACCGGTGTGATGAGGATGCAACTATCCCCTAGTACAGGCTTCCCCAAACTCTGGCCCTATGAATGAACTAGTTTTTAACTAGTATTGTGAGCATGTGTGTGTAATGTGCTTTATAAAATGTTTTGTTCCTGCTTGTGGTCACTGGCTCACTATTTGTAACATTTACTTGAAATGCTGAAGTGAAAGTTTCTGCCTCCGAGCTGCTAGCATATGATTACTTTAATGTGTGTTTGTGCTGCACTCTCTGACAACCACCCACCCCCTTACATACAGAGTGCAAAATGTCAAGTTCTATGCTCATCCAGGCCTAAAAGTTACGAACCACTGCATGCCTTGAGGGGGTTAGGGATGAATTCTCCCTTTCCTGCCATGTATAGTTATGTAGTATTGTCTGATACTGTCCATCCTCATGCTGATCTTTTATTATCCTCTCCTCTCCAGTTGATCTCCTTTCTGACACCCCTATCAGTGGTGATTCTGGCACGTATTTGCCGCCAAGCGGATCATACGGATACACGAGAAGCCAGCCTTGGTAATGCCATTTTGAAACTTACAGCTGAACCTTTAATAGAATACTAGATAGAACAGACTTGGCAAAGTACATTGAGTCTTGCCTGCAATGTAATAAGGGCTCTGTGCAGTATACCCTCTAAAGAGTAGGCCAGTTATGGCACTTTGTAAAAATCCATGTTCGCACAGAGGCCTGAGCATGGAGTGAGCAGTGATTGTCGGGAGACACTGTGTAGAGATATTCAGTGGAGCAATATAAGGAGTCATAAAAGGGAGGGAAGCTTTATGTAGATTGCAGAGAGCAATATGGCATACCTGGATCATGACATTGGAACTTAGTGTTTTTGCTATATATATATCTGGATTCTGGTTTCTCTGCTGCATTCATTAATGAAGTTCTCTATTTTCTATTACCAGCTGCCAGTCTCTCTCTCGTATTGAATGGCATCTTCACCAATACCATAAAACTCATCGTTGGGAGGTAGGTGTCTCGGCCAGTACTTTCCATGTTGAACATTGCTGTAGGCTTTTAGAAGAGTCCAGTTGTCTTTGGATTATAGATATTTCACATACTGTTTGTACTTTTCATTAAAGCTGCACGGTCAGATCATTCTTCCCTTTTTATTTGTTTCCTTTTCTCTTATTATTTTTTTCTTCTAGGGACTACTTTGTCTACCTTTTTTACCCCTACACCTGACACTTCTATAACACAGGGTAATGCAGTCAAGTGCCAGTCCCCCAGCCAGCACCAGTTACTGCTGCAGGGAATTGGCTCTGTCCTAAACCTCAATGCTGTACTCTCGCGCATGCAATGACATTGGCTCCTGGCACTGAGGGGACCATAAAAAAGGAACCCCCCTGAAAGAGGATGGCGGTGCCCACAAAGGACAAATTTAACTTTGGTGCTATTTCTAACCCTTATGGTTGAGTCATCAAACAGTAGCCAGGTACACACTATTTGTCTCGAAGTATGCACGATAGAAAAAAGGGCATGTTATCACTGTGGCATTGTGACCAGATGTCTTGTTACCAGAGAACCTGATTAGTAGACGCCGCTGTTAAAGAGAAAGGAATAAAGACATGAGAAGAACTATATAAAGGACAAAGAAAGAAAATGGAAAAAGGCAAAAGGGCTTAAGTGATTGAAAACAAATGGCAGCTATAAATAACCTCTATATGGAGTAAATTGCTAGTCCATAATGTACGAGTGATCAGAGGTACCATATTAGCCGTATCATATGGTCCTGATATACCACCATGATCTAGCAATCACAGAGACTAATAGAGGTGAAATGTGATCCTGGGTGTGGCATACTCTTGTGGTGAAAGAAAAACGGACTTATAATAATTTTATTCTATTTAATGGATAACTAGTTGCAGTTCGCAAGCTGTGTAATATCAATGTTACTTTACGATTCTGCTTGGGAAATGTGGCATGATGATGATGAATACCCTTGCAGGTCTCTTTGCATTATTTGCCAGATGGGCTTTACACAGTCTTGATTTGTACAAAATAATAATTCCCTACTAAAATTGAGACCATTTTTTTGGGTGCATGCTTTTGGTCATTTTGTGTCTTTTGCAAATAGAAGATGTCTCAAATTATAGCTGGCAATAAACAGTACAAGTCTCACCCAAAGATGAGTGAAGTCCACAAGTTTCGGGGGCGGGGCCTGGCCACAAAGCAGAGAGGACGCTTGCCTCAGCAGCTCCGGCCACCGGGAACGGCAAAAGCAAGATAAAGCAAATAAAACGACAACAAAACGACAAACAAAGATTACCCAGTGCAAGGGTACACCGGGGTGCACACGCAGACACCAATCAACTTACAACTTAAGAGGTACGCACCCGACACCCTGGCAGGGCCTACTAATATGGCGCATGCGGGAGAGACGGCCGCTCTCCTGAAGCCAAAAATCGACTGGAACCCTGTCCTGGGACCCTTCGTTCCACCCCCCCTTTGTCCCGGTGGGGGTTATCCCGGGCTACCCCCAATCGAGCACATGGACAAGCTATCCCCATGTGAGACTGGCGCAAGGTCCAGAGGTCATGACTACGACATACAAAATGGCGGACAAATCGAGCACCACAGCCTACTGCTATGCTGCCAGAGAAACGGAGACCAGACTAAACTACATCTTCGGATTATTGTGGGAGAAGCTAGAGGTACTTCTGGGGCCCCCGACACCAGAGATACCACCCGATGGCACAATACAGGGCCAGACTAGGGAGGTTGCAGAGAGGGGCAAAGGGATCCCCCTAGACTCCGCTCCCAAGACGGTCAAACACCAGAAAAGGACCACAATGTGGAGACACACCAAGAGTAACCATAGCCAGGGACCGGCCATCCGGACGCCCCTAGAGACTTACCTGCCTGCACAAGCACTCGCAAACCCCGGCGGCAGACGCAGAGCTCAGAGCCCTGGGGTAGCCCGCATCAAGCGGCAATGCCGCCAACGGAAGAAGGCAGTATACAAACGGTCAATGCAGAACGGCACCCACAAATTAGGCGGGAGACCCCCCAACCAGACGGCAATACGCAACGGAAGGTTAAATGCCCCCCACAGTCTGACATACCATCAAGGCACTCACTTATTGGGACTTGCATCACAGAGCTGGTTACTTAGCTCCACTAGATGGGACTTTGACTTGCCCCTGAAAGGCATCGGCTAAAGGACACCAGGAATATCCACATGTGAAGCACCAGGCTCAACACCACGCCAAAATACCCTGCCTCTCCATACTCCCCAGCAAACGTTAACTGGACTCCCACACCTATCACAAAGGACCTTATGGGCAAGACCCTATATGCAGACCAAACCCTCTAGCAAGACTCATGCTACTATGTGCACTTTCCGCTTCTCATGCAGAGTTCCTTTATGTTTTGCTTTTTCTTTTATTTTTTTATTTACTCCACTACAGTGGATCAAGCTGAACCTACTTGGTTCAAAAGATAACACGAGCAAAGCAAACACTGAGCAACTGATGCACACATGCTCTCACAAACTGCCTCAGTATCAACCTATCCTTAATCGTAGACACGTAGGCAGGCATTCGCAGATTTAACTGTCACTGACACCGCCAGACTGCGCCATAGCTCTCTCGAACCATAACCATAAAACGCGCTGAAACAGCTTCAGGAACTATAGACACGTACACTCATGCTTGTTAAACTACCCAATACTCATTATAAATACGTCAGTTAATATGGATTGCTTACCACACCAGGTTGTTTACCTCACTAACTGACATTTGTTATGTTATTGTTCCGCGCCTGTTATCATTATAATATAAAAATGTGCAACTTCTATTGATGCCATACTAATAATACCCTTTATCTGTTATACTATGCTGGATAATGCTGATGTGGCACATAAAGCTTGAATGTTGATACTTGCACAATAAAAAAAAAGAATAAAAAAAAAAAAAGTCCACAAGTTTCAGTTCCTGATAATTGATTCTAATAATGGATTTATTGCATTTATTAATCATTCAGCAAAATTCACATCCTTTACATTTCACCTCTTGACTAATAAACCAGTAAATGTTGTCTACATTTTTAAAGCTGCTTCTCCTTGCTATAAACCCAGAGCACTAATCATAAACTCTTAATGACGAAATTGAAATTGTAGAAAATAAATTGGGGAGCAACAGTAGTAATAATTGGCAACCCTGTCTGCAAGAGTATAACAAACCCTGTGATTTATGACTATTTCAGTCATGCATGGTGGGGTATATGATCAGTTATTTATTAAAGTGAAAATGCAAAATGAATTTCAAAATAACCGAACTGGAGAAATTCTGTCACGTATAGAAGACCCACACGTTTACTTTTAGTTTGGCTACTCTGCCTTTAAATTTGAAATTCACTTTGAATTCTCACTTGAGCACCAAAAAAAAAAAAAAACTGTATCTATATGAAACGCACACCTGGGTATGTTTGGCATTCTACCTGCAACATTTTATTGAGGAATTTCTCCTTTCATTCATTGAGCAGTAGGGAAAGAAAACTAGAAATATATAAATCCCTATATTACAGGCCAACATAGCATAGATGTAATGTTAGAAAAAACTGACAAAAGATTCATATTCTAAAATAATCAGGCAAAGAGTACTCCTTGGCAAAAGTATACAGGAAGCAGAAAATAACTTGTGGCGTTGGAAACTGAAGGAAAAATGGAGCTTGTAAAACTGCTTGAATAATTTTTATATTTTCTGTCTTTAAAAAAAAAACAAAAAAAAAACAGGATAGCTGATTAGTTTAATCTGTTTTTCATAACCTCTCCGAGAACAGCTAACAACTGCAATTTGGTGGCATAAGCACTCTAATGATCTCGGCTCCATTCTATTAATATACCCGCAAAAGCAGATTGGCTGCTGGATAGCATCAACTCCTTCATGACTTCTACGAATAGCCTATACCACACACATTGACATATGCCTGAAACAATTCTGTCGACCGCAAATCTCCCGCTTTCTCTCTTTGATGGTTTCTGAGAATTTTCTTTTTCTTTCCTTTTTGCATGGATATTTTTTTTCTCTTCTGCACTGTTGATTGTTGCACCACTCATATCTTTTGTGTGTAAGGTGCTTCTACTTCTAGCAGTCTGGTTTTCTCAGGGAGGTTATATAACTGGCAGCTGTTTATTTCTTTCCCAATTTCTTAAGGTTTGTCTTCCTCTCTTTACTCCAGGCCTCGACCAGACTTCTTATATCGCTGTTTTCCAGACGGACAGGAATCACCAGGTTTACACTGTACAGGTGACCCGGAGCTAATAATCGAAGGGAGGAAGAGTTTTCCAAGTGGACATTCGTCATGTCAGTGAACCTTTCTCATTTGTCTCATTCCATTTTCTGTCCTATTGATCTAGCTTTTGTGTTCATAGTTTTGCCAATAAGAATGGGAAACCGGTTGAAATAGGAACCATTCTTTTATTAGAACAAAATCGTTCCCTTTTTTAAAGTATTTATTTATATTTGTATTATTTGCTATATACCTGGCATAAGATGCACTTTGTGTGGACTCAAGATGTTATGTACTGAAGCAAAGTACGGAAATCAAGATTTAATTCTTATTGTTCCAGATGAAAGTATAATGGCACAGCACTCTTCAAAAAAGGGGAAAAAAAGAACACAATAATATAGGATGGAGGGAACACATTTCCAGCTCCTTACAAAACAGTAATTTGCTACAGATCAATAAAAACATGGATAACACAAAGACTCCAAAACTTCCCACAACTATATACCAAAGGGTTTCCCAAAGCAGTATTCCGCTCCATTTTGCTTTCTGAAGGGAGATGCACTTACATGAAGCTCTCCTGTTATCATTCTATTTTCAGCTTCTGGTATATAAAGCCTCCTAGATCTGTGTTCTGTTTGTACCCTTCCTCATGTGTGAGAGTGCAAAACTATGGTATAGGTCCCATGGGTCCTTTGCACAAAGACATGCCATTTTTATCTCTTCCCTTGGGAGAAGATTTTTTTAATCAGTTGTTGCATGTGACAGCTGATAAGAAATTGCAAGATATACCAAGTGCACAGTATTGAAACAATTTTGCCAAAAATCAGTGCGTGCTTAAGATGAAATATTTCCTTACTTATTTAATTTCCTTTGTGAAATTTCCAGAAATTCAAAAGAAAAAAGGCACCGTTGCAATGTTGTTAAAACTGTGCCTATTTAGTTTAATGTACTACAGGATAAACCTGGTGGAAACCAAATATTAGCTTAAAAGACCACTATAGTATGTTTTCCTGGCACTATAGTGCCCTGAGGGTGCCCCCACCCTCAGGGCCCCCCTCCCGTGGCACTGAAGGGGGAGGAATGGGTTAATCCCTTACCTTTTCTCCAGCGCCAGGCTCCCTCGGCACTGGGACTCTTCTTCCGTCATCCGCTGAATGCGCATTATCAATGCATTATCAATGCTTTCCTATGGACACTGGCGTCTTCTCACTGTGAAAATCACAGTGAGAAGCGCCACTAGCACCTGTCAATGAGACAGCTACTAGAGGCTGGATTAACCCATAGGTAAACATAGCAGTTTCTATGAAACTGCTATGTTTACTGCAAAAAGGGTTAAACCTAGCTGGACCTGGCACCCAGACCACTTCATTAAGCTGAAGTGGTCTGGGTGCCTATAGTGGTCCTTTAACTAGAATAGGTAAAACATTAAAAAAAAAAAAAAAGCCCACAGGATACTTCTAACTGGCCACCTGGGAGTATTTAGTACCTACCATGCCATAGCTTAGTTTGACAGGAATATTTGAATCTCAATTTTTTTTTTTCTTAATTGTACATATGTTCTGTTAGTGACACCTAGTGGTTCTTTAGTATATCACATTTTGATATTTTTAAAGTAGTATTCTTTAACACAGTGGTTCACAAACTTTTTAGGTTCAAGATGCCCTTAATATTTCAGTATTTTTCCAAGGCACCCCAAGTCAAAATTTCTAGGTTGTATGTCTGTACAACGCTGTGGCATTTACTGGCGCTATAGTGCAATGTACAGTGTTTGTGTTTGAAGGGATGCTTGTATACATTTGTGTTTTAATACAGGAGTGTTTGTATGTAATGTTTGTGTCTGAATGTAATGTTTACTTTTAAATGTGGATGTACATTTGTGTGTAGTATTTGTGTTTGAGTGAAGGGGAGTGTTTTTTTTTGTTTGTTTTTTTGTTTTTTTTTGTTTTTTTTTTTTTTATATATATATATATATATATATATATATATATATATATATATATTTATTTATTTATTTATTTTTTTATGCAGTTGTTTGTGTGTCTGTATGTAATATTTGAGTTAGATTGCAGGAGTATGCTTGTGTGTTGTGCTGGTGTTTAACTGATTGGATGTATGCACATACACTACTACCACATACATACATACTTACACAAATGCATATAAATACACAGACACACACAAATTCATATAGACACCGATACATACACACATAGGTTGCCTCCTCTCCCTCCCGCGTCCCTCTCTGCATGACACTGTCAGGGGCCCAGTCAAGGTCTTAAAGGACCGCGGCACTTGACCCCGTCCATGTTGAGAAGTAATGTTTTCCTGGTGCTATAATCATAGCATTGGGGAAACATTCCGCGGCACCCCTGTGTGCACGCAGGGCACAGTTTGGGAGGCGCTGCTTTAACAGCTTTAAATAAAAGCTGTCGGTTGCGCCATAAAACATTGTGATTCTACATTAGACCTATTTCTCACTCAATGGGAAGCTAGTAATAGCCTGAGAGCGACAGCCAATCACTAGTACAAAGCTTCCACATCGAAGCCAAGTATTAAACCAGAAGAGAAGGGGTCAGTCGAAGGTGGCCATCTAAACAACTTTTATTGTTAATTTGTTTGTAAATGGTTAAACTCCTTAAGGACATTACCAAGGTCCTCCATATATAATAACTTCATTGACAAAGTTTTGGTTCACAGAGTGTTCTTTCGAATTTCTTGGGTTGTGGATGGCAACCTCCTATGGGTATTTTTGAAAATGTGAATTGACATGCTTTCAAGGTAAATTTCACATTTTAGCCCAAAATAAAAGAATTGTAAAAAAAAAAATTCCAAGACAGCTTTGTTTGTTTAACCCCTTAAGGACATATGACATGTCATGATTCCCTTTTATTCCAGAAGTTTGGTCCTTAAGGGGTTAAAGTTCTGGGGGTTGTTTGTGGTTTTTTTTTTTTTTGCTTAAAATTCACTTTCAATGTACAACATTTTAAATTTTAACACAGATTGTGTACAAACTGCCTCAAAATTAGAGTAGTTCGTATACAGTGCTTAAAGAAAAGCACTCCTTAGAAATATTTTTTGATTCATGTGTTGTGTTTTTTCCCTTCTAGTTGCGTTTGCGGGACTGGGATTCACGTCTCTGTACATTGCTGGAAAGCTTCATTGTTTCTCTCCTGGTGGCCGTGGACACTCATGGAGACTATGCACTGTCCTGGCACCATTGCTGTGTGCTATAGCCATTGCATTGTCCCGTACCTGTGACTACAAACATCACTGGCAAGGTGAGACAATCAATTTATAATGAAATCTATTTGAAATTTGACCTGATTTACCTCCTCCTATCTTTTCTAAGTCCACTCAACATAAAAAACAGAATAAAAAGCTACTTTTTGTGAAGTAATGTGTTTTGTTGCTAATATTCTTCTAGATTATTTGCCAACTGATGCCAACTACTCTCTTTCAGATGTGGTGATTGGTGCAATTATTGGACTTTTATTTGCCTGCCTTTGCTACAGACAGTATTATCCTCCTCTGACTGATAGAGACTGTCACAAGCCATACAGACACAAAGGGCGGATTTCGGGGGCACAGGAGAGGAAACTGAGCACTGCTGGATATGCCCTAGATGTATGACAATCTGGGTGAAAAGGGGTGAAATTAGTCTGAATGGACAATAAATAACTCTTAAGGACCACAACCATTTCTTTTCTGCCGTAGTATACAGCTGGCCTCTTGCATTGAAGGGGTAAAGCCACTTTCTTAGAAGGACATATGTATATAACCATATAATTTTAAATGAATGTACTGTTACACATTTGTCACTTTTTTTTTTCTTTTTTTATAAAATTGAAGGATATTACTTATTAAGGAACATATTCAGTGTTCATTGCAGTTTGGATTACTTTTAGTCTGAGAAATTTTTGTATTCTGTCCTTTACAATAAATGTACATAAATATAGACTCGGCTAGTGCTGGGTTTGTTTACACCACAACTGTATTTCAACCTAAAGCAGAGAAAAAATAAAACTGTGAATGTTCCATTTTGCAGCTCCCACTGTTATTAGTTATTTCTCAATTTACCTTTGCAAAACATCGTCTGACTTTCATATTTCCTCCTGAAGCCTAATATTTTTTAAGACCCTCTTCTTGTCTGGTTCTCAGAATATCGAGAATCTGCTCCAGCAGTCCCCAATGCAACCTATATCCCATGATGTTGGTTTTAACATGTCTGTTCCTTGTCTCGCACAAGCCAAAACTAGACGTTATCAAGGTTATGATGAAGCCAGCATCCTAGGGTGAAATTAATACATTTTTGCACCGACTTAAATATTGCACTATTTTTATTCCTCTCTTTTATATTTATATGTGAGTTGACTTCTCCACTGTTATACCTAGGAGTAAGTGTTCTCTTTTGTAGTGTTGCACTTGCACTTCTGTGCTTTATCGGTAGGATCATGTAAACTAAACTCTGAAGTATTGTTTTTGGTTTTGACTCCTCTGACCTGGCCTAGAGATACTTGTTTTTGATTTCTCATTTTCACACCAAGCCGCAAATCCGGCACATGGTGGAGGGCGGTATCATAATGTTAAATTCTATACTAGACCGTGCCCCAGACACACTCACGTGAAGACTTTGGTATGAGCAACTGAAACAGTTCATAACCCATATTCCACAACCAGGGCCGCCATCAGGGGGTGACAACCATGACTGTTGTCATGGGCCCTGGGGGGCCCATGCACCCCCTATTCCTAATGTGCATACCCATATATATATATATATATATATATAGCAAGTATTGTTATATATATATATATATAATGTGTGTGTGTGTGTGTGTGTGTTTTGGCAGTGGCAGAACTACCTAAGGGGGCGCATCGGGTGGTCCATGCACTTAGGGCCACCCGATGGGCATATCTCTAAAGGGCCAATATACACAGAAAACAAGTAAAAAGTAGGCGCTCGTAATAAAATCGTCTAAAATAAAACAAAACAACCTGTTAATATAAAAAAGAGCTGCACCAAAAACAAGTGTAAAACTCCTCCAAACACTATAGTGAATATACTTAAAAATAATAAGGTGTGCTGTGTCTTTAAGACCCAAAAATATATAAAGTGCAACTAAGTGCAAACAAATTGATAAAGTGCAAAGTGATATAAAGTGCACTTAAAGTGTAGAATATCAGTATAAAATATTATACATACATACGGCCTCTCAACTCCAAATATACATAGAAAGGAAAAGAGACATAAAAAAACCAATAGTGTAAAACCGTAAAAAATAGTAGTATAGATAATAAATGCCAAATATTGCACTCACAAAAGTAGAGCAGAATAAGCCTGCTCTAGCTTTAACAGCTTCTTCAAATGTAGGACTGCACAGACGAAAAAATATTCCAAAATCTTTATTGCCCAGCACAGCACCAATATATCACCTTCCTCCACACTTAGTATTCAGTTGTTACCGTCTGTTTCCTCAAACTTCCAGGGGGAGGAGCTTCCTCGG